ATACTATAAAATTCAAAAAATATTTTATGTTTCCAACAATTCATTGTTATAACTATAAGAAAAAAGATAAAAATAATTCATTTGATGAGGCTTCAACTTANCTCCCCCCCCCCCCAAATTTGAAAAATCTAACACACACACTCTACAACACATAGCTTCACATACATACACACATTTCAATGCATGCATAGTGTAATAATTCAGTATACAGTGACTTTAATCACGGATATCGCTAGTAAATAAATAACATACATTTTAATACATATAATTAACTTTTCATCTACTTTTTCTCCTAATTTTAGAGGAATTAATTTTGGTAAGTTAGAAAGAAAATTAATCTATCTATTGTTTCATCCTTCCTATTTTCATTCCTTAAACCTAATGTTTTATCTATCCTTCTAACTTTTCATCCTTTCAATTTTCTATTCTTCTATTTTTTCATCTTACCAAACGAAGCATTATGATCCGTTTGGTACGAATGATGGAAAGAATGAAGGAAGGAAAAGTGAAAGAAATAAACTTTGCATTCATGAAGGAAAGAAAGTTATTTCCTCCTTTTTGTTTGGTAAGAGAGATGAAAAATAGAAGGAATATATTTTACATCGTTTGGTATTGGATGAAAACTGAAAGGAAAGAAAAAACATATATGCCCAATTTACAATTCTACCCTTAAATATATTGAGACACCCCAAAATTCGGGGGTCTGTTGATTATCCATCAACCCTCGAAATACCTGTGGATACCGAATAATTCGATATCACGTCATTGTGCCCCATTTATCGGGAAACATTATTTTGATGAAATTCGGGCAAAGTCTCCTTTGTACGGGAAGCTCTACCCAAAATTTAACCGGTGCAATCATACAATAAACAGACTCATCCGAGGTCCAATATTCAACAATGACCACACCGGGTCTAATTATAAGTAAGCATTGGTCACACCGGGTCCAAGTATCCATATTTATATCAACACATGCAAGGTTAGTTTAAAAATAGTCTATATAAGTTTTATTACAATTATGCAAAAGATTACATGAGCAAAACATTATTTCCACAAAATGTTTTACATTAACACAAAATCACCAAGGATGATGATTGACCAACCATGCAACCACACACTCATGCTCATGGTTATGGATGTGTTTACCCCGTGCATATGCAATGTAATGCATCATTGTAAACTACTGTCATGTTCAATATGTAATGAATGTCATATGAACAATTTCAACATATTTCATGATCAATTATATCCAGACATATAAATTTCATGATCATCATAATGCTAACATATCGTTAAGCATACATCAACATAACATTAAAATTGTAAATCACATCATAAGTATGTAATTTCACTTTACCACATTTTTCAAGCATGTTATTTTATCAAACACAACAAACACCTTCAAGGCACTAATCATATAAATACATAATTCAAGTATTTTAGAACCATGCTACTATCTTGGATGTGTGGTGAAAGTATGGCCACATTACATGAGGATTTGGAGTCTTAAAAGTTAAGAAACCAAAGGGGTATTGGTGTTTGATAACAAAGGCACCAGCACTAGCTCCCGCTAGTGGAAGTACCTCTGTTTTTATCCATTATGACCATAATCCACTCAGAATCTAGAAAATTTCAAAACACGAAAGTTGTAGATCTAAATGTCTTCTGTATTTTGTCAAAATTTCAGTTCAATCCAACGGTTGGATCAAAAGTTATGACAATTCTACGACAACTGATCCGGAGCAGAAAAGTGTACCAACTTTTCTTATTATCACATAATATTGCCCACATCTTTATAAATCACATTTGAGCACATAACATGCCCAAACACATCAAATCCCAAGGAATCACACAAGTAATTTAATTTGTCAATTGTTACTAGGAAGTTATATAGGCCCAATTCCACACCCATTTTCTTAGTCATATACATAAATGAGTCAATATATATATATATATATATATATATATATATATAAATATATATATATATATATATATAAACACATATATTCAACCATCCCAGATAGACATTTTAGGCTAAGAATAGATTCAAGTAGAAGAACCTCCTACCTTAATAGAAGTGTAGAGACTTCTATTCTATCAAAACAAGCCCCAAAGCTTTGATCCTCCAAGATTTTGTCTTTGAATATTTGGTGAAAGTCTTCGTTTTTGGTACTCACGCGTAGCCCTCGTCTCGTAGATCGACTTTAGTTCTTGATCTGATGAATTCCGACCAACGGATCTTGAGAAATCCTCGGAAGAAAACTTTAAAAACACACTTTCTCTCTTTCTCTCTTCTCACACCTGAACCAGCCGGCCTCTTGGAGAAGAAAATCTGATTGTTTTTCAGATATTATGCCATTTTTATACTTTTAAGACTTGACTCTCGTCACTCCAAGTGTCCTCCTTTGTTCGGATCCGTTTTTTGCTCCGAAACGATTAAATTTTGTATCAGTTTAAGCTCAAATATTTTATATGATTTTATTTAAAATAATTTCAAAATTTCAAAATTTTTATAAAAATTTCGTTTTTAGGGATCACCGGACACCCATACTTCGAAAAACGTGAAAAATCCGACTATCTCGAATTTCTATGAAATTTATTTGGGTAACTAGATTTCGTGAGACGAATCCAACGATGAAGTCCGTTTCATCATCCGAGATCTAAAAAAATATCATTTTTCAACCCGCACTATAATGACAAATTACCATTTTACCCTTTTTTTTTTTTATAAAAGGTTCAATTTTTTTTTTCTGGGTTTCACCTATATTTTTGAAAAAGATTTTAATCCCCTTATTTTTGTTACGAATTAATTTTGGAGAAAATACAACAGTAAATTTATTTATTGGTGATCAGTAAAAAATGTGTATACTGGGAATTAAATATATCCAATAAGTAAAAGGTAAAAGTCAACTTAAAAAATTATTGTCTTGCCTTCACTTTTTTCCTCTACTTTCCGCCCAAATTTGGACCGAAAGTATTTGATGGGATGGCAGGATAAAGATTCTCTCCCACTTTCCACTCCCTCATACTTTCCTTTGGTACCAAATATTGGAAATATTTTCCTTCCCTTCCATTTTTCTTCCCTCACTTTTCTTCCACCCATTTTTCCACCATACCAAACACACTATTAGAATCGGATCAAAATTCTAACTTCAGCTTTCTACTAGCCGCGCGGCTCTTTTTCTTCTTTTTTTTTTTTTTTTTGCTTTGCAAAAAAAAAGGTGAAGGGCAAAAGACAACACCCAAAAATCACCCCAATAAGATCTCACTAGTGGGATCATAAAGCATCTAACCACGCCTATTTCTTTTCTTAAGAACGAACCTAATTAAATTAGTATAGCAATTAACTATTGAGTCTCAATATGTACTCTAAGGCTCAAACTTCCTAACATCACGATAAAAAGTTCGGCTGCTACTAGACCACCCCCACCCGGTAGTGCTGCGCGGGTTTTCGAATTAGAAGAAATCAAGTAATATTTTAGTGTACATAAGCCCAATCCCAAAAGCCATGGCGCGATATCTGGATAACTAATTTAACGGTTGTTTTTTCACTAACAAACAACGAAAATGACATTCACATGTTAACTGAAACTCTCCACATGATCAAGAAGGGTCGATTCCACTACAGGGCTATCCATTTTCCACAGCCATTCTCTTCTCTCTCTCTCTCAATTGTCAAAGATTTTAGCTTGTCCCTTGCCGTCTTCAATGGCTTTTTCATGAAAACTTTGCTGTATTTCTTGGTCATTAAGTGCATGAATATTTCTCCTATCTTTAGCATCAAAAACATCCTGACGTGTAGAAAACTCTCAGAAATATCCAAGTCATGTGACAAAGTGCTGGTGGAATAGAGCTAATCACAGCCGAGTATTGAGCTCCATGATTTCCAGAATTATTACTTATATATTTGATGACATTTGCATGATGTTGCACGACCATGCTTATCTATTTGGCTAATTATTCAAATACGTGCTACTCCACATCTAGCACATATACATACGTGCTAGTCAATATATTCTTAAGTTATACGATACAAGATATATTTTTTATTTTTATTTTTGTTCTTTAAACAAACCCGCGATGTTTAATTTACAAACAAAAATTATGTACAAAAGGATTAACACGAATAAAATACTATAATCGCCTATATGTTAGAGATTTAAATTCATAAATTCTTTAAACACCATATTAAAACATCCAACCCAAAATCAATTCCTAATGTGTTAAGGGAGCTACAAGGCTGTGGTCGTAATTTCATACGTGTTGTCATATTGATAAGGCAAACTTAAGTACTTAATTAAGTCAATTAATAATGTCTTGTCGCAAAATAACTAAAATTTAACTAACTAAAGACAAAAACATATTTCAATAGTATATGTTCATATGTTCTAAAAAAAATTTTTGCTATAGTGATACGCTAAATATAGAATATTACTTTAACAACTTGTATTAAATAATTTATATTTTTTTCTCTCTCCTCCTATCCTTTCCCACTTCTCTTGTCTGCTTTGTGTCTTTCTCTTCATTCTCTCTCTCTTTCCAACAGTCCCAACAAAGGTATAAAATATGTAAAATAATATTTAAAAATAATAGTTAAATTATAAAAAACCTAATAGAGTATATATTAAAAAAGAATAAGTAGCTAAAATAAAAAATATATACTTTTGGATAGAAAAAATATAAACCTTGTTGGAGATGCTCTTCGTGGAGTAATAATATATAAAATTTATGTATTCTCGCACAAGTACTGCATGCCCGTGCTAGCAGGTTGTATGGTTAATTGCCAAATAATTGGTAATACTTAAACAAAATAAAGGTCAATAATTATCCAAACAAAAAGGGCGCAAAACTGTGAAGCATATACCTGAACAGTGATATGACCTCCGACTGCTTTCGCCAATATAAGCCCAACTCTCTCGCCTCTTTTAACAACTAAGAAATAATCTCTCTCTCTCTCTCTCTCTCTCTCTCTCACACACACACACACACATCAAAATATGAGAACGCCTAATTTGAGGAGTCCTACATTCATCTTTCTGGTTGCATTGCTTGTCTGGTCTTCAGGAAATGAAACTTGCGGTGCTAGAATAGTCAAGCACTGGAGAGGAAGCAAAGCTATTCCACCATCCCTGTCAAATAAGAAAGGTGATAATGATGCCGATAGCCAATATCCAACAAGGTTGATGGAAGAGAGTTTCACTGCACAAGGAGGGGCTTCGACTACTACCTTCAATGTAATAGACTATGGTGCTAAAGGTGATGGAACTACGGATGACACAAAGGTAGCTTTGAGCTTTCTTCAGATTCTGCTCAAAAAAGTGGTGTTTAGAAAACCATGAATTAANTGCTAAAGGTGATGGAACTACGGATGACACAAAGGTAGCTTTGAGCTTTCTTCAGATTCTGCTCAAAAAAGTGGTGTTTAGAAAACCATAAATTATCCCCTACAAATAATTCAAGTGGTAACAGAGACGAAATTTTTTGAGATTCTAGTAGAACTAATCTTGAACTGTCTAGTAGGTGGTTTGGATAAGAGGATTTCAGTTGTTAATATTCTAAAGTCTCAAGTTCAAGTCTTACAAATAACGTTATTGTTTATCTAATGCACATGATTTATGAGTGAGTGCATGCATCCTAAGTTTAGGCATGATTTAGACGGTTCTCGGTTTTTTAAAAAATGTTTCCTAAGACATAATTTGCTAGCCTCCCCATTTGTCGAGACCCATGAATCTACTCTGCTTAACATGATACAACCTGCAATCCTTGGCAGGCATTTGAAGCAGCATGGGCATCCACTTGCAAAGTGGANTTGCAATCCTTGGCAGGCATTTGATGCAGCATGGGCATCCACTTGCAAAGTGGAGGCATCAACAATGGTGGTTCCATCAGGGTCTGTCTTCCTAGTCAAGCCCATCTCTTTCTCAGGACCCAACTGTGGATCAAACATCATATTTCAGGTGAATTTCAAATCATCAATTCAAGTTGGATTTTCTGTGTCCATCAGGGTCTGTCTTCCTAGTCAAGCCCATCTCTTTCTCAGGAGATGATTGTGTGTCCATACAAACTGGGTGCTCTGGCATATTTATTCACAACGTGAATTGTGGACCTGGGCATGGGATCAGCATTGGAGGACTAGGAAGGGGCAACGCCAGGGCCTGTGTCCCAAATGTCACCATCCGAGACACCACAATGCACAATACATTGACTGGTGTAAGAATAAAGACATGGCAGGTAATAAACCATTATCCTACGTGAACCAAAATATTAAACCAATTTACTCAAGTTCACTCACTCAGGATTTTCCTGCTATATTTGAACCATATTTCTGAATCCCATTTCTTTCAACTGCAGGGTGGCTCAGGGTTGGTGCAAGGAGTCATGTTCTCCAACATTCAAGTTTCAGAAGTTGAAACCCCTATCATGATTGATCAGTTCTACTGTGATGGGAGCAAATGCCAGAACACGACATCAGTTGTGGCTGTGTCGGGCATATCCTATCAAAATATAAGAGGAACCTATAAACTGAAACCTGTTCACTTTGCATGCAGCGACAGCTTGCCATGCACGGGTGTAACATTAAACACCATAAATCTAACACCAATACAGGAAAAGAACCACTTGTATGAACCCTTTTGCTGGCAGACTTATAGAGAATTACGAACAACCACCACACCTCCAATAAATTGTTTGCAGATTGGCAAGCCATCAAACAACCAAGTTCAGAACAGTAATGGTTCCTGCTGAACTCAGCCAGGGGTATCAAAGAACTGTCTGAGAAGTTGCCACAATTTCCAAACCATAATATGCTAGATGATATACACTTANTAAACCATAATATGTTAGATGGTACACACATAATGTAGGAGCACGAGTGTAGATATTTGCTTACAGATAAAATGTAGAAGTTCTTGCCATCATAAGGGATCTGTTCCCCATGGATACAGCTTTTGCTATTGCAAGACAGATCTTATTCTATAAAGCTCTACACTAGCCTTTTAAGAATTTGACCTGTACTGCTTTGATATCAGAGATATTACACATGAGCATACTAGCTAAAAGTACGTGAACCTATAAACCCCTATCCTTCAGATGATAAATCAGTCTCGTTATCAGGTATAACACCTGAATCAATAGTGATATGCAATAGCACATTACAAAATTCAGCACACCAACTTGGAATAAGGAAAGTGGAAAGCTACATTCCAGGCTTTGGGATATATTTGAGAAAAAGTATAAACACAGCCAAGACTACAGCATAACATGCTAACTAACATACAAGAGTAGACCGTGCTGACCAAATGTATCCGCAAATATTCCTATTATTAATAAAATCTGTTACTTATCAAATAAATAAATAAAATGTATATGCAAATAAACTTCTTATGGGCATTTGCGACACCATGACATCAGGCAAATCGTACAAANATGTATATGCAAAAAATAAATAAATAAAATGTATATGCAAATAAACTTCTTATGGGCATTTGCGACACCATGACATCAGACAAATTGTACAAAAGCCAGAAAGACAAAATTGACAAACAAATCCCACTTTTCAGGCTTTCAACTATCGACACCCTCGACAAAATAGATTAATACTACGAGAATAACAGACCACAGGAAAAGATGAGGACATCGAAGGTTTGCCCGTTCTTCTCTTTTGAATTATCTGCCACTATTGCACTTCTTTTTTCCAGGCATTTTGATCAATTAATGGAAATAGCAAGAAGATAGAAGAAGAATATAACACTATCTCTTGCGTTTCAGATGTTTTTCCTAGTTAAAAGTCGAAAGGAGAATGCTCGTAAGGCCAAACGAGCCCAGATAAAATTAAATAAATAAGAAAAATCACCCCTATAATCCCAAAACAAATTTAACTGCTTACAGGAGTGACAATGTGACATTAATTCATGGTAATTGTGATATCCTATTCAACACCTCAGAATCAGAAAAATCTATGCTTTATCACAAGAAATTGTGCTCAACAGAGATACGGAAACAATTGCTTTGTATGATGCAAGCTACTTTGAACATCAAAAATATTGAGCAGCGCCTCATAGTAATCTTATACTCTGCTCCATTGGAAAAAAAAAACATAGGAAAAAAAAAAATAGACTTAGACAGTACGACCTTTTTTTTTTTTTTTTAATATCTGATAACATTAACCAGAAAACTAAATTAAGGCCCTGATGAGACATTTCTGAGAAAGAACAGTGGTCTGACACGTGTTCTCAGTACCGAGGGCACCCCCCTCTGGCGAAGGCATGTGTCCTCGGAATCGAGGACGCCTTCAGCTCTCTCGTGATGACACGTGTCCTCGGCTCCGAAGACACTAAACTATCTGATGTGACACATGTCCTCAGCACTGAGAACACTTCGAGATTTCTGACAAAGACATATGTCCTCAGCACTGAAGACACCTTCTGTTCTCTAGTGATGACACGTATCCTCAGCACTGAGGACACTTCTAGGACTTGTAGCCCTGGGATTTTGACACGTGTCCCCCACGTGATTGGATCACAAGGACTCTTGTGGACATGTCACCTCGGCTCCTAGATGAATTATTGACAGTTACAGCCCATCAATCTTAGAGTTAGACAGTAAATCATAGGCTTGCCTTCCCAACGAAGTCAGAATGACAGGAGGAACAAGACCAATAACCAAAGGAGGTTAAGCACCTTGTGGGAAGTACAGAAGTAGGGGCCAAAAGACAAAGAGGTCCCTACTTATATGCATTCGTCACAAGGAAGCATTGAATGATCCCTCTGAGGGATGGGACGTAGTTAATGCTCGGGAGCCTGAGAAGAAGAGCATTAAAAGCTTGGGAGTCAGGGAGAAAGGGCATTAAATGCTAGGGAGGCCAAGTATTTAATGCATGCGCCTAGTCCTTGCAGAATAGAGAATGTACTGCCCAATGACTAAGCACCGCCAATTGCCTACTAAATCAGTAATGATACCTCTATAGAAGGTATAAATAGCTCTCAAAAACTCAAAACAAAGGTACACAAAATCACTTCTGGAAACATGCACAGCGTCTTCCCATCCCCTCTCTCACAGAAACTAACTTGATCGTCAGAGGGGATATGACGGAAAACACTCTGGCGCCCTTCTAACCCAATTTTTGTGTGCAAGGAACCGCCTTCGGCTCGCCGGAATTGATCAAACATCCTTGAAAGTAATTCATCACCACTCCTTAGGCCCTCTTTGGCCTCATTTTGTCACAAGATCGTTGACTTTTACTTTCGAGGTAAATACAAGTTCACCAAGAGAGAAAACTATATTTTTATTTATTATGCGAAAATCACCGAGCACAGTTTGGCACCGTCTGTGGGAAATCGACCAAATTTTCCAAAGAACAGTGACCATGGTGAAAGTAAATGGAATCTGAAAACGGATTGTCCAAAAGATGTATTTCTGTTCTGACACCATGGTAACTTCACCTTTGGGAGTTAGGAGGAAACAGATCTCAAGAGAATGGCTGACATCTAATGTGGGTATGATCGTCCTCACACACCTCAAGACTGATTAGTTTTGATGAGATGAAGAGGGACACAAAAATCACAGTGTCACTGGCTCATTTTGTGTATCATTCTGCCTTCGACAAATATACCGCACCTAATGCCATTTTCGAAATTTGGTAGTCCATGCCAGTAGTGGATAGGTGTGGGAATGAGAGTCTTTGTACCAAGGCATTGGTGTCTGCTTGCACGAGTACATGAGTGAAGTTGTTTGGTTCTAGCAATCCCTTTATCGAGGAATCTGAGCTGGATAATAGTGGGATGAGGGATCAACACAATTCTCTCAATTTTGCACTCAAGGAAGATGACGCTAACCAGAGTGAAAGAACACTGAGATAGGAGGGGTTTATGTTGCAGCTATTGAGTTTGCTAGAGAAGTCACCTCGATAAAGAGAACCATTGAAATTCCCCATAGGGCATCCCAAAGTTGTTGATTTTCTGCCTTTACACAAGAAACATGAAGCCGAACAATGGTACGGATCCCTTGGCTTCAAATACGCCTCAGATTCATCTACCATCGGCACCTTCCCTCAGCATAAATATGTCTCGAGATCCTCTATGATTGACACGTGTCCTCGGCGCTAATGTTCTTCGGATTTCTGTACAATCCATTTATCAAGTACGGGGGTGAAGTTGTCATCTCGACAGGGTGGACACTTAGAAATTTTTTCTTTTTCTCCCACGAGAAAAGGTCAAGCAAATAGGAGGATTCTACCTTCTCTTGAGGAACAGCACTTAGCCGAACGTATAAATAAAGGGGGCAGAAAAGGAACAAAGGAAGAAAGAGAGATCGACACATGAAATAAAGCAAAGTCATTTTTCATTCCAACAAAAAAAGGGTTTTGCATCCCCCAAACTACAAAAATAATAAGGGAGAAATGATCACAAGACCAAAAAAAAAGCTAAGCCTAAGGCGCAGGAGGAGGCCTGTTCACTTCACTGTTGATCCCTCCACCAAATGTTCCCAAATAGTTTGTCGATGCTAGCAGAGAGGGGGTCGGCAGCGGGGGAGTCAGTTTGCGTCGTCAGGGCAAAAACAGGCACAGGGATCGATGCTAGAGCTAGAGCAGGGGGAGGAGCCTAGATAGGAGTAGTACCGGCTGGCGCCGGGGCTGCAGCATCAATAATTGGTGCCGAGCTTGGCACTTGGACATTTTCAGCGCCTTCAGCTGCGTCCTCTGCAAAAGCTGTCACTATCTCTGCAAAAGGGACATATATGTGCTCCTGAAATAAGGGGGAGTCATCAGGGACACCAACGGCCTTCAGAGCTTCATCCCACCCTTGCTTGAAGTATTCCCTCTTCTACTCCTCATAGGCCACTAAGATGTCGTCGGCGCATTGATCCACGATCTCTTGCCGAGTCTTCCTAGTAGCCTCCAGTGCAGCCCAGCCTTTATCTAGCTCCTGGGTAAGAGCAGAACAAGTCTGCTCCGACTCCACCACCTTGGCCTCGGAGGCCGAGAGGTGTTTGGTTGACTCCGTTATTTTTCTCTCGACATCGGCGAGGGCAGCACTTATTCTATTAGCATTCCCCTTGGCCGCCTCAGCCTCTTTCAGAAGCTCAGCAATTTGAGCAGCTTGGTAAGACAAAGTGTTGTCCCTAGCTGCCACTTCTTCCCTTGTCAAAGCAAGAGTTCCTTGGGCTTCGGCCTTTTACTTCTCGGAGTCTTGACATCTCTCACGAGGCATGTGGAAGCAATCAACGATGACCGAGATCTGCTGGGCAGTCTATCAAAAGAATAGAATGGGGGTCACATCGATTAAACAAATAAAAAAAGGAGAAAGAAAAGGGTTATTGCTTAGATGATGTTACCGAAGAGTTGGTTAATCGGTCTCCCCCAATGCTCCTCCATATCGGCGTCAAATAGAAGCATCTAGCTCACAACATTGGCCACGTGAGAAAAATGGATGATAGAGTCAAAGACTCAGATCGGCCTGTTGTCACGATCCCAAGTCCGAGGGCGCCACTCCTCAGCTTGAGTCGTTGGTGCCGGAAGAAGAGGAGGAGGAATAGATGTTGTTGGTGTTGTCATTGGAGGCGGAATAGCACCCCTGCCTCGACCAGTACCATCATGTCAGTGTTTTATCCTCCTCTCCTCTTCAGATTGAGGGTCCCTGGGATGGCCTTTATCGCGACCTGTGGACCTCGGAAGCACGATGTTGGTCTCGGAAGGAGGAGGAGCAGGAGTCCTTCTTGGTAGAGGAGGAGGGTCGCTGGAGTTGGAC